TGCACTGCAATTTTTTTTTTCAATTAGAGCGGTTGATTTGTTTGTGAATTTGTTTAACTGATTATTGATTCGTGGGGCATCTTGAAATTAGACTTCAATAACTAAGGAGAGCATGTTTGTTTTAAGATTTATTTTATTCCTGTTTTTTACACTACTATCTCCAATCCATATTGCAGTATATCAGAGTTCAGCATTTGAAAAAATTCTGCATAATTATAACCCAGAATTCTAAATACAGCCAAGTTATACAAAGTACAATCGTTAAAAATACTTTTTAACTAAAGAGTTTGGGCAAGGGCTACGCAAACACGAGCCCACACTAGCTAGCACAAATTGTGACAAGCTCAACCGCTGCAGCTCTATACCTGTACACAGTGCCATTTATTCCTTCTAAACTGGGCCTCTTTTGGGCTCCATTTTAATGTGATTTTGGGAGAAAATGTATTTTGGAATGGTGATTTTTTGAAGAATGTGGTTGAAAGATAAATAAAAATTTTGGGTCTTCGTGTTATATTATTTTATGAAAAAATACGTAGTTGAAATTGAGTTATAGAAAAATGTATTTTGGGAATAATGGAACCTAAACAGGGGCTCAGTTTAAGACAGATCAAGGAGTATATATATCAGGGTGTTTCTGAATCCCGTCATGCAAAACTGATTATCTTTTGACTAAACCGTTGCTCAATAAGTTGTTTCTATGCAAGACTATTCACAAAATCGATTGTTTTACTGTATAATGCGCGTTGAAGGGCAGTACAACTTGTGTTGGTGCTACTCTGGGAATGGAGAGGAGTTTACTTCATGGAAAAAGTGCACATGTACATCAGCATTTTTGCCTTTATAATTTTTGTTGCTTTTGTTTATGAATTCATTTGCTCATATCAAACTTGAATTGACTCTATCTCCTTTCTCTGAATTTGTATGTTCAGACTTAAGAGGAACCCGAAAGGCATATTAAGGGATTAATTTCCACTCGATAGAATGCAAAGCCAATAACTTCTGCCGAACAGGGTAGTGGGTTTTAGGTATAGGATAAAGAAATTTGCTCCATGTTATATCCTTGAGTTTGTACCAGAAAGACAAATTCATAAAAAAATAGTTTAGTTTCATTGTGATAAAATGCGGAGTCAATGATTTTAGTTGAGAAAGGTAGCAAGTCTTAGCATGTCAAATTTGAAACCGAAAAATCTAAGGATCAACAATAAAGCGCATTTCTAGTTGCCATTGAAAATTGCAGTAAGACCTGAAATATTTGGTGAAATGGTGGCCAAAAACTTGAATAATTTGTAACTATAATCTGGAGTCTTATATCAGCGTGTATAAAATTGTGAAAGACACGCAGCCAGCCAGGTATATGCTGGTGGGATATCATATTTAATCCAATCCGACATCATTTCAGCGAGTGTTACAATAAGAGAATGAGAGGCTACAGAGTTAAACGGCCCAGTGAAGAGGATAATCATGTAGCCGTGCAGTGAGCACAAAGTGAACTATTCTTTCACCTTTTACTAAAGAATACCGTGTGCTCATCGCAAATAGCGACGTACACCACTTTTTGGAGGGGTCTTTTCCGATTGGTAATGCCCCTGACCAATTCTAGTTCAAATGTTTTTCTCTTAGTCAAAATAATGTGTTAAAGATTTAAAAGTTCGATCTTAAAACAATATTGTCAAAATTTTAATTGCAAATCTTGAAATTAACTGGGTAATTGGGCTGCTGATCATCTAACCGCTTTTTCTCAAAATAATTCATGCAATTGATTTGTTCGTGTTTTGGCCGTTTAACTGCAAATTAACTGAAGTTGTAGACAACCGGGTAAAACCTTATTTTATCAGACGGGCCTAAAAATGTCTCGTAGAGTTAAAAGGGGGAATAATTTATTTGGATCCAGATGCCAAAACCGACACCGGACTATATATGGTCTAGCCCAACGTACTCTAGTAGAGAGACACTGTTTTGCAGTGATTGTTGATTTGTGGAGCATTTTGAAATCAGACTTCAAAAACGAGGGCAGTTTGATTCAAGATTATGGCAAAATTCAACATTTCTTTTGTTGGTGTACAACATTCCACCTCGTCAAATAAATATTTTGAGATTACTATGCCTACTCTAAACCTTAAGGTCGAATGCAGTAATCGCGAGATTAGATCGGACAAACCGTAGTGATTTGCAGACATAATGATGCATAGTCACTGCCACAATGTCACACCTCTCCATCAACTATTCCGTGAATGACACAACCCTGAAGTCAACAGATCATTTTCAACCAATTAACAGCAAGCAATGATTTCTTAATGTCAGGCCATCATTACCAAATGTCATAGCTGAAGTCTATGTTCAAAGCATTGAATTTTTGGATAACAGAAGGTGGCCAAGTAGTGTGATCTTTCATTCTATAAATAGGGACCAATGGTTCCCTCTCAATGTAGAGCTAAGACTCATTTGAAAGTGTTTCGCGCGGGTTAGTCGCTAACAATTAAAAAGGGTCAGACGATTGTGTAAGGGACGAAACCTCTTGAGACAAAGTCCCAAAAAAGGGTATTCTTTTATTGGCGATGAACTTTACAATTGGAAACGAAAGACAACGTGCCTCCAAGAGGCGCAAGCACACGAGTTACTGAAAGAAAAGTGCTTAAATCTAAAAACTAAGGAAATGAAAATTACATGTTCTCTGTTCAAGAGTTTTGGATTCGGTCCTTTGCTTCTATGTCCTTTCTCCCTTTTATACTTCATAGACGATCTTTTTGTGGTCAACTACTCTAAAAATTGCTTGATCGTCCTATAACTACCCACTTTCTTCGTAATGGCCATCTTGTTATGAAAACTGCCTTTTAACTGCTGCCATTACCCTTCGTCGTTCAACCGCTTTCGATTGTATTCTTTGAATTGTGGAATGTGATAGGGCTGCTTTAATAACTGCACTTCTTGATAATCACGACGCGTTATGTTTGTTAATACCTTGGGCAACTTGAAAGTTTGGGCGAGAATAGAGTAACAGTTTTGGGCGACCGTATGACACTCTATTCGTTCAGATTCTGGGCGACTTACAAACTTAGGCGATGGCGTTATCGCATTCTTGGGCCTCCTTATTTGGACTTTCATCTTGATTTGTTCGATTGGACTTCGTTCTTTGGGCTATCTGATTTGGGGACCCTCCAATTGGGCTTCACTCCTTGGGCTAAATTTTTATGTGTCAACACATTGTACAACAGATTAAAATAGAAGTACCTACAAAATCATGTTTTCTCTGTATCCGAATATTTTAATGCAATATGTGAATTGTTTGCTATGGTTATCTAGTTTGTGTAGTTCTCTTGTTTCTCGGAAATGCCCAAAGTATTTGTTTTAGGGTTTTGATTTGATTTCCCCCTAGAATGCCTAGAGTATTTTGTACATTCTTCTGAACAATATTAGCTTTACATTTACTGATTAACATAAATAATTAAATAAAAAAAAAGGTTTAGAATACCAACTTCCCACAACGGAAAAAGGGAAGGAAAAAGAGTAACTGAGCGAGGCACAAAGAAATTTTCTCGCAAAGACGCAGCAGTACTGTCACTTCAAACGAAAAACTTACAGGCTCAAATTGAGCTCAATCAAAGGTCAAACACCTAGGACTAGTCTCGGGCAGGGGCCGCGCGAACGCAGGCCCCCACTATCACAAATTATGACGTAGGCTCGACCACTTGGGCCGACCTTAGGCGGGCGCCCCTCCTAAGTGCAATGGAGGTCGCCAACCTAGGCCATGGGCCTTCTTGATCACCCATTGACCCCGTCCAGGTAAGTATGTAACAATTTACCACTTGGTCTTCTTTTATAATACTGCTAAACCCTTCTTTGTTTTTGCTCTTACGATGTGGGATTTTGAAGAATGAAACCAGTACCCAACAAATATAAAGCGCTCTCTTTTGCATTACATTTTGATTCTCCATTCCAAGAAATTGCCACATTAACATATTAATCTTTGTATGATACATTTAAATTTTTGTGCAAACGAATATATAAATTCTGGGATATATTGAACATAAATTTGAAGAATTTCACCTGATGCAGGCGAAGGTTTTACTCTTAGACCGTGTTAATCTACTCTTCCATTTAATTTGGGTCATCATGGATATCGGTTTTGAATGAATTAACGAACTGTAATGACCTTAATAGCTAGTGTGGTGCAAAATAATTAGCTGCCTAATCCAAATTCTAGATGTAAAAATTCTGTCAGTGTCGATTTCTTGATCTGTTTTGTTCTTTATTATGAGCCTCAAAAACCAGCTGCCAAATACAAATTCTAAAAAATGCCTTCTAAGATATTTCCAGCAAAATATCTTCCAAGTAATTCATACCATAGTTATAACTGTTTGGCAATTTGATTGCACTTTTTTGCAGAAAATAAATCAGCTTTTACTCCGAATTGCTCAGATGAATGAAATTTTACTTGCACACCGGAAAGTTCCAGTTCTTCGAGTAAACTGAATAGATTGTACATTGAAACCATTGTTCTTCAGTCCATCTATCTTATTTTTCTCAATCGCCTGAATCTTGGACTCGCCAAGTCTTGTGACAACAGCTTGAATGGGGCAGTTTACAGATGCATGGTCGAGATTTCAACTTTTCTTATCGCAAATTTGTTGAAGAAAGCATATTGAAATGCATATGCTGGCAGAGTATAATGCTTTAGTCATGTATATTTTCAGTGTCCAGTGTTATGATATTGTACTATTTTTATGAACAAAACTATAAATCTGTACCATTTTCAATATAATTTGTTGAGTATCATTTACTGGAAAGTATCCTTTGTTGCTGGAATATCTTAATTTTCTTGTTCGGAGGCAATCCGAGACATTTATGATATGTTTGGTACGTTCCACTGAATAAGAATGTACAAGCTTTAGAAAGTTTACCTGCAATACCAAACATGCCCTTAGAAGACGTTGCGCAAACAATTTGGACCCTATACTTATTATCAAGCCCTACTTCCATTTGTGTCAATGAATTCATAGCAAAATACGAACTCCACAGCAAAAACATATCCAAGAAAAGTGTCTCTCTGCCCCGAAAATAGCAAAAAAGATTCAAATAGTTCAGAAAGCACATCACTGGAATTGAAAATTCTAAGAATTTAAGAACCTAGAGCAAAATATGTTTAACTGAGAGTACAATAACTTGCAGTGTGTCAATGGAGAACGATAAAGCAAGCACAACTTTGGAATCCAAGACAGTGAAGGGTAAAGCAGCTGCCGATGGAAGGGCATTGAGCAATCTGGACCTCATGCCATTATTTTAGCAGATCTCACGTAAAGACTGTCCACAACCTTGGCCATATTCGAAATGGTTTCTAGTGTAGCTGGATATATAGCATCTGTTTTGGGATCATCAAAAATGACTAGGCATCCAGCACCCTGGTCCAAAGTTCCAGCAAACTTCTTATCCAAGATCATTTGTGACAATTTCTTTTCAACGTGGTCAGCAGGCAATTCAATCAACTCAGCAATATGAGCAATCTCGACCCTTGAGAAAGGTTCAATCAACCTGCAAAGGTTCTGCTCGAGCAGTGTGTCGTACAGGGAAGAAAGGTGCCTGTGGACAATAGGATCTTCCTCTAGCTGAGCCTTAAAATTTCGAAGAGCAGTCTCGAAAAGCTTCAACGAGCGTTTTGAATGTGCATCAGCGATGGCTTTCATTGCATCGAGTTCCGGACCCTGATATTGCAAGCCCACCTTGGGGGATGATATTATTCCCGCAACATCATCAGCTTGGCTAACCATAATTTTGCAGAGCAACATGTACTTGAGGCTATATATGGCCTGAGGATCTTCAAGGGCATTGAAAGCTTCAAAAGCTTCATAAAAATAGCTATAAGCAGTTTTGTAATCCTTCTCTTCTGCATGAAGAATCCCACTTTGTAAATCTATAGTGCCCTGCTGAGCCGGAGGCACGTAAATAGCATTGGCAGCTGTTCTAGCAGCAGTAAGTGCAGCCTTAGCTTTAGGAAGGTTTCTCAAAGAAAAATGAAGCTTGCTCTCCAACAAATCTATATCAACAAGCAGCAGCTTATCATCTAATCTTCTCACTTCCTTGATCAGCCCTGAAAGAAGATTCAATGCTTCAGAATATTCCTTGTTTTCCATCAAAAGAGCTGCAAGTCTTGCCTCAATTCGCTGGCGAAGGAAATTTCGCTTCTCTGCACGGGTCCATTGCACAATTTCCTTGCAGAGGGCAATCTGAAGATCTGAAGTGTCTGGTATTTTGGCTACAGCATCAACAATTCCACGGACAATTTTAGCAGTTTTTGCTTTGGGTATCAATGAGAAGAAGGGCAGGAGCTGAGTCAGTAGATTTTTGAGTTCCTCGGCTCTGTTCTCTTGTCTAAGAAGATCAGAGAGATTGGAGATGGCCTGTTCTTTTATCCTCAAGGCCTCAGAAGAAGATGAGGGATTGTCAAGTACGCGATAGAGGATAGATATTGCCTCGGATGGGGTTTTAGTTTCAGTAGCCTGAACAAGAGAATCTGTGGTTGCTGGAAGATATGAAGAAGACATGATCACAGCTTTCAGATTATATATCCTGCAGTTTCGTCAACATCGCAATCAGATGATAGAGAATCTACTATAGAAAGCAATACAAGGCAACAAATTTCACCTCAAATTACTAAAAAGATCAAGTACCGTGCCATATGGTGTGGCTAGAAAAGCAACGCACACCGGGAATCTAAGAATGCACAGCATTCAAGGTGGGACATTAAAAAAACTTTCCCTTGATAAAGCCATTTTGCTATCACACATTAAGAGCTTGTTTGGAAGTGCTTATAAACGATTTATATGTAAATAAATAAAAAATAGTGATAAATAAGTGGGTAGTACTTGTAGGTACCTCGAAATATCGGGATAAAAAGTAACTTGAGTACTAATAAACAATTTATAAATAAGATCCAAACAAAAGCTAAGAATGAAGATAGCTTATGCTATACTAACAGCAGAACAAATCACCGATGAAGCCTAAGTTTTGCTAATAAGGTTTTATCTTTCCTAGTGAACTCAAAATTGACAAAAGAAGGGAAGAAAAATGTCTTTACAGAGATTCAATTCTATCATTTCATTTCAAGTGCATCGAATTGACATGAACAAAGGAAAGTCTATCGTCATAGATTAACAAATTAATTGGCTTCTTAACATATTTTTACTATCCGAAAAGTGAGAATATCAGTTGAGAGACAAGTTTCTTGGTGAACTCAAGGAACATTCTGGAGATAAATAAACTTTGAAATACCAAGGAACAGAGAAAGCACTACCATTTGTCTCTGTCACTCCCACATACATGTATGCATTAATCAAAATCCATCAATTCAAGATTAAAGTCTTATTATTCAACCCCTGTTTGGTGGGGATTAAAATTAGATTTTTAGTAGATTTTGATAAACGTTTTTGAAATTGTGTTGTTGAAAAGTTGCAGAGCCCATGAAATATGTGGTTAAAATTGATTGTTTGACTTTAAGTTAGATTAAAATCTGATTTAAATCAGTACCTAACATGACATCCAATCAGTTCACACCATATTCAATTAAAATAACACAAATAATCTGGAATCAAGATTAGAGTAAATCTTGTGATTCAGTATTGATTCAGATAATCTCTTCTATTTTTTGTTAAAAAATACCCAGAACTCTGATATGCCAAAATTGACTATAAAGTAAAACCTTTTCTAAATAATCAAATATATTCTCTAAGGATTCTTAAAGGTGAATAAAAAGTTTATAGGTATCAGACTTTCAATAAATTAATATTCATGCTCCCGTACAACAGTTAATATTGAGTTTCAATCCTTGCTTTCTGTTTACTACATATCTGTTTCACCCAAGAATATCTAAGAACAGTGCCTCTTTTATATGCATTAATTTTATTTTCCTACCAATCAAGAACAACTTGATGTTGAAGAACTTAAAACAAATGTGTTGAATGAATAACATAGTAAGTGCTCTTCTTCTTATAAGTAGAGTCTCCAATAGAACCTCCAATGAAGGTATCAACCTGCATCAGATCATCATATTCAACGCACCTCACTGTATCTACAATATTAACATGCTAAGAAAATCTTTGATAATTTTGAGGAAACAAACATCTACCAAAATAGATTGCAGTCATTTGAAGCCTCAAATCTTGCACAGACTGCTACATTTACAAGAAACCCTAAAAGTACCATCCCACCCAATTCACTGAATAAGGCATCTACAAGCTTTTTCCCCTAATTTTATAGATTTTCCTCTCATTCTGTCAAAGCACAGAGGATCAGCTTCTAAATGCATAATTGTCGGATTAAGCTCAAAAAGGACAACCCATACAGCTCCATACTAGTGAAATGCCAAAATGAAAACTGTGCAAACACTTTAAAATCAGATTCCAACTATCTTTCAGAATTTTATTTTTTTTCCCAATAAGTGTAAATATAAAAACTCAACCAAAAAATATATCATCACATAGGCCAGGCAGTCCATATTCTAAGATTTGACACAAAAAGTCTCTTGGAAACGAGGCATCATTTTTGCAACTAAAGACAATACCATTCAACATTGAATTGTTTTTAACAGGTCTAAATGCTGAGGCCTTGCAAGCCAACAAACTGACCATATTAAACCTCCAACAAACACACTTTCTGCAGTATTAGGCAGAAAAAATTACCCAACAATAAAAATTCTCTTCCCATAACAATCCCATATCAGGTACTAAATGAAGATTATAATCTGACACAATCCCTCAAAAATGATAGTGAGTCTGCAATCAAACTAGCGAGGCAAACTCTCATAAACAAGAAGTACGGATTTATTTACATGAAACTTGATTCTTCCACGAAGTCAACAGAAAGAGCAACATGTTATGAAATAGCAAAAAAATAAATAAATAAACGAATTAATCTGAGAATGAAAAATACAAGTTTCGTGCAGAATGTAAACCACAATTCTAACTCGTTAATATTCGATTTTTCAACAGTCTACATGACATGAAAATTATTACAAAGGAGGAAAAAATGAGATGAACCCAGAAGTCAGAAAGTCCAGATTTGTGCAAAATTCTGTCTTCAAATGTTCCAAATTCAAAACTAATTCAATGTCGATTTGAGTAATAACAAAACTAGGGTTTATAAAATTTCAAAGTTACTCACCTTGACCGATAAGACTCGAAACTATTAAGCAGCGATTAGCGATCCAGGAGCGGAAGGAAGATCTATGGATTAGGGCACATATGTGCGTGTATATTTAAGGACTATCAAAAGAGGTAACCCATTTCTCAAGTCTTGTTCCCCCTTCACGTCGTCTGAATAAATTAAAAAAAAATGGAAAAGAAAATAAAAGAGGGATATTATTCTCCAATTTGCAATCAATCAAATATATATATATATATATATATATATATATATATATAAGCCCCGGTTTGTTTTTCATTATTTAGCCATTAAAATGAAAAATATGATCGTTATCTATTATATCAATTCATCATTTTTGAATTTATATCTTTTGTGTCATAACGACTATATATTTCATTTTCATTCTTACATTATGGGAAACAAACGGGAATATGAAAATTAAAGGCAAATTTGCCTAAGCCCGTGGTATAGCTAAAATTATTTTTTTAGTAAATTTTAATAAAAATTGATTAAGTATGGATTAAAAAATTGATAAAATATGTATATCTTATTCAAAAAATGATTTTTGATTTGATATAATTTTTAGCAAAATTTTAAACCACACCAAATAGGGACTATATAGTCAAGGTGCAATGTTTGCTTTTAATTTTTTATTCATCTAAATATTTAGATCCCGTTTGGTGTAGTTAAAAATTTAATTTTTTGTAAATTTTGATAAAAAAATTGTAAATTCTATGAAAATGAATGAATTTGACTAGAATTTTAATTATTAAAACTACACCAAACATGGGCTAAAGTTCGGTATGCCTTTGTTTGAGCCCCATTTTGAAAGAAAAAATGTATTTTTGAATTGTGATTCTTGAAGATTAAAATTAAGAAAAATTTCTTTAATTTACATGCAATATTATTTTATTGAAGAATGCGTGTTTGAAAATGGTTTTTCTAAAAATGAAGTCCAAACAAGAGCGAGAGAATGTGACCAGAGAGTTTTGAAAATGTTAATCCAAACAATTATTCTAGTAGGCTTGTTTGTTAAAAAAAATTTAAAAATCACTTTGCTCCGAAGTTATTTTTAATCGCACATTTTATAAGATCCACGATTTAATTTTATTTTTTCACTTTTAATCACACATTATTCAAAAAAATATTTTTTTTTTTTTGAAAAAGTCTGTGCCAAAAATTATTTGACTATTTACTTTTCATTTTTCATTGTCCAAGTAATTAATTTGCTACCTCCTAGTGTTTCTATTTTTCATTTATCGTTTGAGGGCATTAGTCTATCCATCGAGGAACAAAAAAAATTGATTTTGTGATCCTAAACTGTCAAGTGGAAGGGTTGTAACTCAACTGATAAAAAATAACTCTAGCGGATAACTTAAGTCTTTGCATTTTGCATTTCACATTCGATGGATAAAATATAAAAGTAACTCTAGAGACATGAATCTTTGTATTGAGCATCCCGTGTTCACGCATTGTGAGAAATGGTTCTCTTAACCCTACTAGTGTTTAATGATATTTGTGTAATTCACAAAGATTGTGCTTTCCCAGTATTTATTATAGACCATTGGATGGAATCGATGGTCGGGATTTAAACTTAATCGATATTTTGTTGCCTTGGCTTGTTAAAGAAGTTTTGGATTATTTACCAAACATATGACTTACCCCACGTTTTTGTAAGAGAGGGCAGTGTCTTTAGGTGGTAAGGGGGTTATTTCAAAAGGAGGTTGGTCTTTATTTTTCTCTCTGCTCGACAGAAAACTCTCCTCCATTTTTGGTTCCTCAAGGTGGGGTTTTAAGGGGTTCTTTGCCGGTTTTCTCTCTCTCACTTGGAAGGTGATTTGCAAGTCGTGGAGGGCTATTCCTGAGCCTGTAAAATTAGCCATAAGGAGGAGAAGAAGCTGCTGAAAGGAGGAAGCAGAAGCTATCCAGATTCGGCCATATGGGTTGTGTTATTTTCGATTTCGTATTTTCTTGGTTTTGCCTTAGAATTTCTTCTATTGATTGATGTTTTGGTTGATTGAACTCCTACGATCCCCAACAAACTGGTATCAGAGCTAGGAGGAGTGAAATCTGTCCAAAAATCGATCAAAATCGGCAAGGAAATCGCTACTCCATTTTCTGACCGAATCTGAAAAATTCAAATTCCGGCCAAACTATTGACTTTCCGGCGAAATGGAACTTGGACCCATAACCAGCAGACTGAGGCGCTCCTTGTGATGGGGCGTGTGACCGACGGTGGAGGCTCCGGCTGCGGCGCGTGGCGGTCCGGTGGCGGCGCGTGGTGGACCTCAGGCGAGCTTTTTTCGGGCAGTTTACTTATTTTGACGTCCTGAACCCACTGCTGTCGTTTGTTTTCTATTTCAGGTTTTACAGAAAAAGTTGGACAATTTTGCCCCTGGCTTGACGCTACCGCAATTAGGTTCAGAAACTTGGTGGTATATTTACTGTTTTTCAACAGTAGTTTGGTAAGATTATTCCAAACTCTCCGTTAGGTTAGGTTCAGTATCCTTACCGGTTTATGCATGATTATTGCTTGGTTGCCTATTTGTGAATTCTGTTGATTGAATTCTTGTGATTAATTTATAACCTGGAAGCATATTTACCTACTTTATATACCTGTGTTTCTTGAGCGGATTATTTTACTGTTGTGCTTCATTTCTAAAAATTGTTTTTTTAACTCGGCACTCAGTTATATATTGATCATCTGGAAAAGAATTTTTCAAAATCTTTTCTGTTGTGTCCACGAGTACAGGCCACTCTTTTATAGAATCTATAATGGGTTCGAGGGTCGAATTATCGCAATTCGATGGAAAGGGGGATTACTCGATATGGAAACAGAAAATGAGGGCCATTTTGGTCCAACAGAGAGTTGCTAAAGCTCTTGATGATCCCGCTACATTTTCTGATGAGTTAAAAGCTAAAACAACTGAAATTGAAGACATGAATGAAATTGCTTACAATTATATAATTTTGCATCTATTTGACAACATTGAGACAAGTTGATAGTGCTAAAACTGCTAGAGCTTTGTGGATTGCTTTAGATGCCCTGTTCTTAACTAAAACTTTACCTAACAAAATATACCTGTTGGAGAAGTTGTTTAGTCTTAAGATGGACCTGGGGAAGGATGTCGAGGGAAATTTTAGTGAGTTTAGCATAATTGTTAAGAGTCTAGCTCATAATGATAAAACATTTGATGATGAGGATTTAGTTGTCATATTGCTAAACTCTTTGCCCGAATCTTACAGAGAAATGAAAAATGCCATAAAGTATGGTAGGGACACTCTCACTCAAGCTATTGTTTCTGATGCTTTAAAATTAAGAGAACTTGAATTAAAAAGAGAGAACAGAATTCATTCTCGTGAAGAGAGTTTATTTGTTAGGGGAAGATCTGAAAAGAAAGAATTCAACTTCCATAACAAGAAGGGGAGAGGAAAATCTAAAATGAGATCCAAATCTAAAGATAAAAGCGGTAAGAAATGTTATCACTGTGGAAAGTTAGGACATCTCAAGAAAGACTGCTTTGACTGGAAAAGGAAACAAAAAGACCCGAACAATTCTGATGTTGATAATGCTGCTATTGCTTCTGAATTTAATAGTTTGCATGTCATGAATGTGTCTGAAGAAGAATTTGACAAAAAATGGATTCTTGACACAGGGTGCACTATTCATATGTGCCTTGATAGGTCTTGATTTTATAACTATAGGGAGACTGAACCTAGGAAGGTCTACATGGGAGACAATAATTCTCAAAATGTGATTGGAGTTGGTGACATAGCCATCAGGATGTACGATGGGGCCGTCACGCAGCTCAGAAATGTTAGATATGTCCCAAATTTAAAGAGGAACCTCATTTCCTTATGTTCTCTGGAAGATGAGGGATATACCTTCAAGTCTGGTAACAAAATTTTGAAAATTATGAGGGGTTCTCTTATAGTTATGAAAGGGCCTAAGAGGAATGGGTTGTACTATCTTGAGGGTAGAACTGAAATACCATTTGATTCTAGCCTTCTTGCTGTATGTAAAGACAAAATTGAACTTTGGCATAACAGAATGGGTCACATTGGGTTTAAAGGGCTAAAATCTTTAAGTAATCAGAAATTACTTGGAAAAGATGACATTGAAACTATGGAATTCTGTGAAACTTGTGTTTTGGGTAAGTCTCATAAGGTGAGCTTTGAAGCTAGCTCTCATAGGACCAGCAGACCATTGGACTATGTCCATGCTGATCTATGGGGCCCGGAGAAGCACTCCACATTTGGTGGGAGCAAGTACTTCTTGTCCTTAGTGGATGATTACTCCCCCAAGAAAAGTTTAGATTTATCCTTTGAAGGCTAAGTCGGAAACTTTTGGGAAATTCAGGATTTGGTTAAAATCTGTTGAGAATCAGTTAGAGAAGAAACTTAAAACGTTAAGAACTGATAATGGGCTTGAATTCTGTAATAGCGAATTTGACAACTTTTGTAAGCAGAAAGGTATAACAAGACACGGAACTATTAAATACACACCTGAACAAAATGGGGTCGCTGAAAGAATGAACATGACCATAATGAACAAAGTTAGGTGTATGTTGATTAGCTCTGGCCTTGCGAAAGGTTTTTGGGCTGAAGCTGCAAGTACTGCAGCTTATCTGATTAATAGGTCTCCGTCCAGCAGTATAGGGTTTAAGACCCCACAAGAGTTGTGGACGAGAGAGCCTCCAAATCTAGAACACTTGAGGGTGTTTGGATGTGCTGCATTTGCACACCAATCTGAAGGGAAACTTGAGCCGAGGGCTGTCAAGTGTGTGATGTTAGGGTATCCCGAGGGTGTGAAGGGCTATAGGTTATGGGTTTTAGGGGTCCAAGGCATTAAGATTATTAACAGCAGGAATGTAGTCTTTAATGAATCTGAGATGCCATGTCTAAAACAGAAAATCGAAGAAACTAACAAATCTGAAACAGAGAAGAGTATTCAGACTGAGGTGAAGCTAACTAGCCTAAATTCACCTACACCTAGGAATGACAAAAATGACCCTATACATCATGAAAATGAAAATGAAATTGAAATTGAACCTGAACCTGAAGAGGTGACTGAACTTCAAGATAACATTGAACCAGTTGAAGTTGAACATTTTAATGATCAGCCACCTAATCAAGATTATCAGCTTACTAGGGATCGGGGGAGGAGGCAAATCAGGCCAAATCCTAGATATGAATCCCTAAACTTGACTGATTTTTTCTTGGTTTCAGGTGAAGCCCTTGAACAGATAGAACCTGCTAGTTATGAAGAAGCTGTTAATGGAAAATGTTCTGAAAGTTGGCTAAAAGCTATGCGGGAAGAAATGGAATCTCTAATGGAGAATAAAACTTGGAAGTTAGTTAACAAACCTAAGGATCATAGGATAGTTCAATGTAAGTGGATTTACAAATTGAAAGAAGGAAATAATCCTAGTGATCCTCCTAGATATAAGGCCAGATTAGTGGCGAAAGGGTTCACTCAAAAGGAGGGGGTTGATTATAATGAGATATTCTCTCCTGTGATAAAGTACAAAACAATCAGACTGGTTCTTGCATTGGTTGTTCAGTACAACTGGGAACTGGAACAACTAGATGTCAAGACTGCTTTCCTATATGGGGAATTGAAAGAGGATATTTACATGAGTCAGTCTCAAGGTTTTGAGGTGAAAGGTAAAACAAACTGTGTGTGCAAATTAGAAAAATCTCTGTATGGGCATAAACAAAGTCCTAGACAGTAGTACATAAGGTTCGATACCTATGTACTGAAGATAGGTTTTAAAAGGAGTGAATATGATGCATGCCTGTACTATAATGATAGTAAGGAGGGCTGTGAGGTCTACTTGTTGCTGTATGTAGATGACATGCTTCTAGCAAGTTCAAGTAAGACTGAAATCACTAAAATGAAGAACCTTTTAAAATCAGAATTTGATATGAAAGATTTGGGGAGTGCTAAGAAGATTTTGGGGATGGTTATAAAGAAAGATAGGGCTGAAAATAGATTAGTCATTTCCCAAGAAGCCTATCTAAACAAAGTCATAACTAAATTTGGTATGAATGGATCAAAATCTGTGAACGTTCCCTTAGCAGCTCACATGAATCTTTCCAGTGCACAATCTCCTAAAACTGAGGAGGAATTTAGAGAAATGAGGAACTTACCCTATGCCAATGCTATAGGTTCCGTTATGTTCTCTATGATAATAACCAGGCCTGACTTAGCATATGTTATAAGTTTTTTGAGCAGATTTATGTCAAACCCAGGAAAGCCCCATTGGGCAGGTTTGAAATGGTTGTTAAGATACATTGTTGGTACATTAAATCTGGGTCTAGTGTATGAAAAGAGATCTGAAAAACTTGCTCTAAAAGGGTATGTAGGCTCTGATTTTGCTGGTGACAAGGATAGTAGAAAGTCTACCACAGCGTACTTTTTTACACTAGGTGACAATTGTATAACATGGAAGTCACAGCTGCAGCCTTTAGTTACTTTGTCAAGTAATGAGGCAGAGTATGTTGCCATAATCGAGGCGGTTAAGGAATGTACTTGGTTAAAAGAAATTTTAAAAGAATTGAACTTCATGCATGATACACCTGTTATGTTTACTGATAGTCAAAGTGCTTTATTGCTTTGTAAAAATCCTGTTTACGATGAAAGAACTAAACATATTGAGGTAAAGTATCATTTTATTCGTGAGAAACTGTCTCAAGGTGAAGTTAATCTTGTTAAAATTCACACCGATAGGAATCCTTCTGATATGGGAACAAAAATTCTACCTGCAAGTAAATTTAGATTGTGCTTATCTTTATTACATATTGACACTGGTTAATTTTTCTTGCAGGTAGTGAGCGATGATGATGAACAGTTCTTCCATGTGCAAATTCGCAACCAAGAGAGAGTGTTATGAGAACCAAGGTGAAGAATGTGAGAAATGGTTCTCTTAACCCTACTAGTGTTTAGTGCTATTTGTGTAATTCACAAGGATTGTGCTTTCCCAGTATTTATTATGGACCATTGGATGGAATCGATGGTCGGGATTTAAACTTAATAGATATTTTGTTGCCTTGGCTTGTTAAAGAAGTTTTGGATCATTTACCAAACATATGACTTACCCCACGTTTTTGTAAGAGAGGGCAGTGTCTTTAGGTGGTAAGGGGGTTATTTCAAAAGGAGGCTGATCTTTATTTTTCTCTCTGCTCGACAGAAAACTCTCCTCCATTTTTGGTTCCTTAAGGTGGCGGTTTGAAGGGGTTCTTTGTCGGTTTTCTCTCTCTCTCTTGGAAGGTGATTTGCAAGTCGTGGAGGGCTGTTCCTGAGCCTGTAAAATCAGCCATAAGGAGGAGAAGAAGCTGCCGAAAGGAGGAAGCAGAAGCTGTCCAGATTCGGCCATATGGGTTGTGTTATTTCCGGTTTCGTATTTTCTTAGTTTTGCCTTAGAATTTCTTCTATTGATTGATGTTTTGGTCGATTGAACTCCTAGGATCCCCAACACGCATGAACACAAGTTCTTATTTAATTTTAATTTTTATTGTAAATATGAAAATCAAATCTCGAAATATTGAAGTTTTTATCTTATNCATGAACACAAGTTCTTATTTAATTTTAATTTTTATTGTAAATATGAAAATCAAATCTCGAAATATTGAAGTTTTTATCTTATAAAATTAAAATTCGACAGATATCGATCTAGCCCATGTTATCTGCAAACAACCCCTCGACTAGTAAAGGAATTTCAGCATTTCAAAATCAAATACTTTGCAACAGACACGAGGTAAAGAGAATTATTTAAAAACTGTTACTACTCTAAACACAACAATCTCATAAAGCATCACAATATAATACTATTAGTTACTGACGCCATTATTTGAGCCATTCTACGGAGAATCCATAATCAGCCTGATTGTAGTTTCTTCTCTAGTAAATAACCAAAAGTTGGATGACAAAATGTCCCATTGAGAAATGAGTGTGCCAACACTTTGTACATGGCTTCAGTAAGATGAACTCCATCCCAATTAATGTACTGAGAAGGGTTGGTGCAGGCAGTCGACGCTGGCGAGCCGCATGTACTGGAGGCGTCAAAGTTGTACGTTCCACCACCCGACCCACAGCAGACTTTGAAAAGCTCCCTGAAGCGATAGTTCTTTGCACTTTTTACGATATTCGCGTAAGCATTCCAGAAGTCTGCATAAACAATAACTGCTTGTGGGAACTTTTTTCTGAGATCATTCAACTTGGCTTGGAAGATTGTGTTGTGAAGGTAACTTTGCTTGTTTAAACTTCCAACACACCCCATATCATCTCTGTCATCTGTAGGAGCCAGTGACATGGACAGTGTTAGGCACCCTGTAGGTGGCAGGCCTTGAACAATAATGTATTTTGCACCCTTATTCAGCAATGCCTGTGGAGCGAATACAGCCTTGGAATGTCAAGATAACTTCTTAAAAGTTATAAGATCATGAAACTCAAGAACTACAGTACCTAAATTATTAATAATGCGCGTTCGATATGCAGTACTAGAGATCGTACATGACAAAATAATGGAAAATATTTATTTTCCTTATTTAATATTGTCGGTTGTCCAGCATTGTAAGAATAATTTACTTCATGTAACATCGTTTTCAAGAATCCTGCTCTATCTATTCTTCCTCTGAAACCAGAAAAAAAATACAAAAAACATTTACCTATTTGCTCGGATCTTAGCACTCAAAAAGCGGACAGTTATGCTCCTCACTACTTTGGATCTTGGCACTTGAAAAACCACTTGTAAAAAACAATCTAGGCCTGTATTTCTATATATAAATATTAAAAGCATTAATATCATGGGGGTCTCATGGTTCTCTTTTCATTCTATTTTATTTTGTTTATAGTTTAATTATCAGTGTAAGAATTAGGAATTCGTCTTCCCAATCGCCCCAGAGTGGGCATGTGATTACACCACTCTTTTTTTCCCTCGAATTACGGTATATCGTAGCAACATATCACATATTCTGTCAAGATAAATTCATGTTTCAAGTGTTTATAGCTGTTTCCTCGTGCTGATAATTGTTTGCAGATCATGAAAGTCATTAGTAATTTCCCTACATTACCTGAAGAAAACTGGTAACGCTATAGATGGCAAGCTTTTGAATAGTTGTACGGGAGACAGAACTTCCAAAGCTGGTATAAGCATAGTCATTTGCTCCAATTTCACCCACCCAAAACAGTGCATCAGTTAACGCTTCCTTGCACTCTTGGCTTCTTGTTGAACCATTACACCCTTTACTTTCCAAGAACTTGTTGAACCAAATGAGTTGAGTTTGGAGTGACTGAGGAGTAATATCGAGTGTAATGTTGTTTTTCACAAAGAAACTATGTAGTATAGCAGTGGATCCAGCAACAGCAAAGTTGACACCATAAGATTTATCGGATTTTGGGTCCCGGTATGGAGGTAAGAACGGCAACGAAAGAGCCTGAACCACGAAGTCGATCATGAGCCGTCCATCGGAGTATCGGTTGGTGGGGTGGTGGAAGAATGTGGTGCCATATGGAGGGTTTGATACATAAGTGAATGAACTAGGACCAGTGGATGAATATGTATTGCCCGTGTCTGTGTATGAATCACCAAAAGCATACACTTTCTTGAAAGGCCTAGAGGGAATTCCAGTCTTGGTTGCAGTTGAAAAATGCGAGGAGAAAATCAATATGGTTGTGATTGTGATTAGACTGATTTGGGCAGTGGCCATTTTTCGACTATATTTGAATTTTGTAAAGAAACCTAAGATCAATTCGAGAAGTCACAAACAAGCCTGAATGTGCAAAACACTGCCATTGTTATTTATTTATTATAGAATCAAACGTGAAGAGTAAATGAGGGAGGTGGTGAAAATTCAAGAAGGTCGTTGTGAGAGTTGGATGCCATAAATGTATAGCTGCCTATTTAGCTGCCTATTGCAACTGCTGCATCGGTGCTCTGAGCAAATTCATGAAGGTAGTAAATACTAGGTCATGGATATGGCATTTTTTTTTTCTTTTTTATTTTTGTTTCACTTTTTAAATGATTTTAGTTTTTTTTTATATTTAATTAAAAATAATAAATTGGCATTTTTTTAATATTCTGGTCAAATTCGTTGACTACCAACTAATCAAAGGTTGGGGATCAAGTTGAGCAAAAAATGAATGGGGACTAGGTTGCAAAAAGAGTGAAACGTTGGTATTTTGATTTATAGTAGATTTTAATAAAAAATGACGAAATATTCAATTGAAAAGTTGTGAACCCTATAAAATATGTTATTAAAATTATTTATTGATTTAAATTAAAATCTTGATTTTAGTCCCCATCAAGTGGGGGCTTAATAATGTTACATATCGTTATATAAAATAAATTGGATATATTATAGCAGATGTCCCCAGCTTTCCTTCTTTTGCACTTACGTCTCCAATATTTGATAAATTGATAGTATTTTCATCCAATTCTCATTTAATAAACCACTTTGATCATTAAAAAATTAAAAAGATAAAATGATCATTTCACCATTTTTTTATTTAATAACTATATTTTAATTGCACTAAAGGTTATAACCATTTCATATTATCAAATTTATGTCTCAAATTTTATTTTTATATAGTATTCTTATTCTCAAATTAATATAAATTGTTTCTAATTATGAATTCTCTCTAAAATTTTATTTAAAATAGAATAAAAAGACTAATTTGTGCATCGTATTTTTAATTAAGCAAAACAAATAATAANGCTCTCGAAAAACAATAATTGTCGTACCTAACGGTCCAAGTACAAAATAAAGGGTCTCATTCATGTCTCACCCATGCAATCTTCATACGAATCTCATTAGAATTTTTATTCCGACGAAATTTTCGATGATACAATTTTGTGATCAACATCAAATCACTTTATTGTTTGGTACAAACTCAAAATTACTTTCATATAGCTGAAGCTATTTGCTAGTAGACCCCAAAAGCACTTTTAAAGGAATTGAGCTACGTGTACGTTCCTTGTTGACATCTGTCTTTGTGCTGCTATTTGTACATAAAAATGATACCTAAACAGTTATTGAAAATGATGTGAAGGAAAAATATTGAAAAAAAAAGTTGATTGTATTTCAAACTGATAAATAGTAAAGTGTCATGTGTCATTATATAATTTTTTATGTAAACCTTGATGTACATATAATAATATCTATGTGTTAAAATCTGGCCAGTGATGTGAAAGATTGTTTTAAAAATCAATGGAGATAATGAATGTCATGTGTTAGAATGTCAACTTAATATCAAGTAGAATGTACATGTAAAATGATTATTTTTAAATTGAGGGAGCAAATATTGATTTAAAGAAAGCTTATTCAATATTACGTATTGCAAGATTCAAATTTCATCTTGTTTTTCTCCAATAAGTTCATTGTATTTTTCACATCTTAATCTGATTTTTCTTCTTAACAAGCTTCAACCTTCAATCCCAACACACTTTCAACAATTAAACTAAATATACAGTGCTCGCCAATTTTTGCACCTAGCTCGGCATTTCCTTTATACTATCCAATGATACCGAGTAATTCCTTACCAACCATGCCATTGGTGTTAAAGTAAAATAAAATAATAATAATAATAATAACTAGATATTCAAAAATAATTCTCATAAACTTTGTCAAACTGTAGACTTTATTCTCATTATGTTTCAGTAATTTTCATCAGATCATCTCTGTTAAAACACCCCTCAACACATGGAACAGTAACACAGTATTGTTGAAGGGGATTCATCGGGGATCTATCTATCCTGATTGCATTTTCTTGCTTATTAAATGACTCCAAGGTGGATCACAAAATGCCCCTCTGATGTGCCAAAACCTTGTACATGGCTTTAGTAAGATGCCCACCATCCCAATTGATGAAATTAGAAGGGTTATCACAAGCAGTCGAGTGAGGCGATCCGCATGGGAAAGGCACGTTGAAGTCATAGGTTCCGCTGTCAGTTCCACAATGATACCCACCGGGATTTTGAAACATGTGCTGCAAGGCATTCTAGTAGTTTGCATATACAGGGACGGATCTAGGATTGGATTCAAGACAGGGTTATAAAATTTCAAATCGGGCTACTACGGGTAAAAAAAAATTACACATAAAAAATTGGGTTTTTACCAAAATAAAAATAAAAAA